TTATAATTCTTGGAAAGTGACCATCAATTATAATTCAAAAAGAATGAATCAAGTTTCAAGTGAATACTATTAGTAATTTAATGAAAGATAAATGTTGCAAACAAAACTTTCAAAAATTCACAAAGGTCCCAAATTCAGTCAAAATCCATGTCAGACTCTAAGGCCTTGGATAACGACCTCAAATAATGATTTTAAATACTTTTTTTAAAGTTTCATATAAGTACCTTCAATGGTTATGAAGATTGATGTTACATCTAAAAATTGAACAAAGAATGTTAAAGTTTAAAAAGGGTCATAATTCAGTCAAAATCTATTAGATTGGCCTTGGAGATTAACTTTGATCTCGAAAACTTGTACAAAGTAGTTTTGAAGATTGATATTGCATGTAACACTTTAACAGAATTTTCAAAGAGGACCATAATTCTGTTAAACCCATGCAAGAGTTATGAACCTTGGACAGTGACCTCTTATGCTCTCAAATAAGTGGTGAAGTAACAAGCAAATACCATAAGTGGTTGATGAGATAGGATGTTGCATGCAAAACGTTTACTAAAGAGTTATGCCAACACCATGGTGAGAAGAAAATCTCTGAATAGTCAAGCTAAAAACTCATCTTTCACTCCTCCAAATTGTTGATGCATAATCCAATAAATAATTACTGAATATTGATTCTCACTATTATGACATAGAAAAATTACTTGAAAAAGTTGAAATCCTAAAGCCAGATTATCCTTATTTTAATAAGGTCATCATTCAAGTAAAGTATAATGTACGAAAAAATTTAATACTAGTAATTGCTGGGAACACTGTGCAAACATCTATTTATTAAATACCAAACTTGTATTGCTTATTCACCCCTGTGACCATTTTATCAAGAACTATCAAGGTCATTAACCCATTACTTCATATACACGCCTTTTTCACCCCCCCCCTTTTTGTTGTCTGAAATGATGAAAAAATGCCTTATTTAGGCCCCAAACACTTGTTTTTGTTTGAGAAATGTTGTTAAAAAAAGTGACCTCTTTTTCGGCGCAGCCCCCCAACCAAAAGATACATCAGGGCTGTTTGGGGGGGTTTGAAGGGGGGCTGAGTCCCCCTCATCGCCAAGAAAATTTTGGACTTGTGAGAGGCTGTAAATGACCCCAGATTGATCATAAGGTAACGTGTAACCAACGCTGAAAAGCATTTGACTCTATCTCAATCCATTGAGAAGTTGCAGCACTTTGAAATCAATTTTGATGGAAAAAATCAACGCAAAATAGTGATTTTTGGCAATTTTGAGATGTCCCCTCGTTGCCAAGGTAACAGAAAATTTAAGCCTGAGCATGTTGTTGCAAGGGCAATGGTCCAGTCAACATTTGTGCCAAGTTTGATTAGTGTTGAAGCAGTTTTTATAGTATTATAGCAATTTGAACTTTTAACGGGAGACTTTTCAATGAAAACAGTCATTTTTCACAAAATGCTCATGAAGTAATGGGTTAATGAAAAAAATCAAAAAATCTACAAAACAACAATTTTTCTTCAAATTTATATGACAGACCATGTTTCAACATGAAAAAACGCGATTAAGGGTAATTTCAAGTATTTTCATCATTTTCTGTTAACCCATTACTTCATTTACAAAAATGTACATGCCTTTTAACGCATTTTCACCCCCCCCCCCCTTTTGTTGTCTCAAATGATGAAAAAATGCCTTATTTAGGCCCCAAACACTTGTTTTGTTTGAGAAATGTTGTTAAAAAAAGTGACCTCTTTTTTGGCACGGCCCCCCAACCAAAAGATACATCAGGGGGTTGCCAGAAGGGAGATGTGCCCCCTTCTGTTTGGGGGGGGTTTGAAGGGGGGCGGAACCCCCTCATCGCCAAGAAAATTTTGCACTTGTGAGAGGCTGTAAATGACCCCAGATTGATCATAAGGTAACGTGTAACCAACGCTGAAAAGCATTTGACTCTATCTCAATCCATTGAGAAGTTGCAGCACTTTGAAATCAATTTTGATGGAAAAAATCAACGCAAAATAGTGATTTTTGGCAATTTTGAGATGTCCCCTCGTTGCCATGGTAACAGAAAATTTAAGCCTGAGCATGTTGTTGCAAGGGCAATGGTCCAGTCAACATTTGTGCCAAGTTTGATTAGTGTTGAAGCAGTTTTTATAGTATTATAGCAATTTGAACTTGTAACGGTAGACTTTTCAATGAAAACAGCCATTTTTCACAAAATGCTCATGAAGTAATGGGTTAAGAGAGATGCTTACCAATGGCTTAACATTGTTTGTCTTTAACTAGCCCTACATATACATTGTAACTGTGTACATTTGTATATATGAAAATGTTACACATGAAGTAAATACCTGTCTGTAAAAGCAAATTATTCAGCAAATAAAAATCATAGAAAAAATGATTAAAACTCTTTGCAAAGTAAATCAATGATTTCTTTAAATCCTTTCCAATACATAAAATATTTGTTTCAAAATTTGAAACTTCAATAAACTAAAATAAAAACATTTCACACTAAACACCACTAACATTCCTAATGAAACAAGATATGTTTGTAAAACATGTATGCCCCCTATCAGCAGCCAATTAGTCATGTGATAAGGTTATTATGCATGACTTCTGACCCAGTGATCAAACAATTAATAAGGGTTATCAAGTATCTACTGGTCATGACCTTAACCTTTGACCCCTTGACCCAAAACTCAATAGGGGTCATCTGCTGGTCAAGACCAATCATCATACAAAGTTTGAAGTTCCTAGGCCTAAGCGTTTTTAGTTAATTGATCGGAAACCGTTTTTACCTACAAGGTCAATGTGACCTTGACCTTTGACCCCAAAATCAATAGGTCATCTGCTGGTCATGACCAATCACCATACCAAGTTTGAAGTTCCTAGGCCTAAGGGTTCTTTAGTTATTGATCGGAAACCGTTTTAACATACAAGGTTAATGTGACCTTGACCTTTGACCCCAAAATCAATAGAGGGTCATCTGCCGGTCATGACCAATCACCATGCCAAGTTTGAAGTTCCTAGGCCGAAGTGTTCTTTAGTTATTGATCAGAAACCGTTTTTACTTACAATGTCAATGTGACCTTGACCTTTGACCCCTTGATCCCAAAATCAATAGGGGTAATCTGCTGGTCATGACAAATCACCATACCAAGTTTGAAATTCCTAGGCCTTAAAGTTCTTTAGTTATTGATCAGAAACCGTTTTTACTTACAAGGTCAATGTGACCTTGACCTTTGACCCCTTGACCCAAAACTCAATAGGGGTCATCTGCTGGTCACGACTAATCATCATACAAAGTTTGAAGTTCCTAGGCCTAAGCGTTTTTAGTTTATTGATCGGAAACCGTTTTTACCTACAAGGTCAATGTGACCTTGACCTTTGACCCCAAAATCAATAGGTCATCTGCTGGTCATAACCAATTACCATACCAAGTTTGAAGTTCCTAGGCCAAAGGGTTCTTAAGTTATTGATTGGAAAGCATTTTTACCTACAAGGTCAATGTGACCTTGCCCTTTGACCCCTTAACCCCAATATTAAATAGGGGTCATCTGCTGGTCATGACCAATCACCATACCAAGTTTGAAGTTCCTAGGCCTAAGGGTTCTTTAGTTATTGATCGGAAACCGTTTTTACCTAAGAGGTCAATGTGACCTTGACCTTTGACCCCTTGACCCCAAAATCAATAGGGGTCATCTACTGATCATGACCAATCACCATATCAAGTTTGAAGTCCCTAGGCCTAAGGGTTCTTTCGTTATTGATCAGAAACCGTTTTTACCTACAAGGTCAATGTGACCTTGACCTTAGACCCCTTGACCCCAAAATCAATAGGTCATCTGCTGGATATAACCAATCACCATACCAAGTTTGAAGTTCCTAGGCCTAAGGGTTCTTTTGTTATTGATCGGAAATCGTTTTTACATACAAGGTCAATGTGACCTTGACCTTTGACCCCTTGACCCCAAAATCAATAGGTCCTCTGCTGGTCATGACCAATCACCATACCAAGTTTGAAGTTCCTAGGCCTAAGGGTTCTTTAGTTATTGATCAGAAACCGTTTTTACCTACAAGGTCAATGTGACCTTGACCTTTGACCCCTTAACCCCAAAATCAATAGGGGTCATCTCCTGGTCATAACCAATCACCATACCAAGTTTGAAGTTCCTAGACCTAAGGGTTCTTTTGTTATTGATCCGAAACCGTTTTTACCCAAGAGGTCAATGTGACCTTGACCTTTGACCCCAAAATCAATAGGGGTCATCTACTGATCATGACCAATCACCATACCAAGTTTGAAGTTCCTAGGCCTTAAGGTTCTTTAGTTATTGATCGGAAACCGTTTTTGCTTACAAGGTCAATGTGACCTTGACCTTTGACCCCTTGACCCCAAAATCAATAGGGGTCATCTACTGATCATGACCAATCACCATACCAAGTTTGAAGTTCCTAGGCCTTAAGGTTCTTTAGTTATTGATCGGAAACCGTTTTTGCTTACAAGGTCAATGTGACCTTGACCTTTGACCCCTTGACCCCAAAATCAATAGGGGTCATCTACTGATCATGACCAATCACCATACCAAGTTTGAAGTTCCTAGGCCTTAAGGTTCTTTAGTTATTGATCGGAAACCGTTTTTGCTTACAAGGTCAATGTGACCTTGACCTTTGACCCCTTGACCCCAAAATCAATAGGGGTCATCTACTGATCATGACCAATCACCATACTAAGTTTGAAGTTCCTAGGCCTTAAGGTTCTTTAGTTATTGATCGGAAACCGTTTTTGCTTACAAGGTCAATGTGACCTTGACCTTTGACCCCTTGACCCCAAAATCAATAGGGGTCATCTACTGGTCATGACCAATCACCATACCAAGTTTGAAGTTCCTAGGCCTAAGGGTTCTTTAGTTATCACTCGGAAACCATTTGGTCTACTGACCGACGGACCGACAAGTGCAAAGCAATATACCCCCTTTTTTTCAAAATGGGGGCATAAATATTGCAAAGTTTTCAACAATCAATTAAGCTGAAAGATTGTAAATTGCTCTAGAATATCAATAAATATATAAATCAAAAAGGCATTGATGTAGGGTTGGTATTTCATTTTATACTCGAGCATTTGTGTCTGACTTCAGTGGATGAAATCTAACAATATTAGAGTTTTCCTTATGAATATTTATAGCAACTTGTGTCATGTAAAATCGTCCTCAGGATTATCAACTTTCTCTTCCACAGAGTGGTAGTGTTCTCCTAGTCCATAAGCATGTCTGTAATATCTGTAATGATTAGCATTTTGAGAATAAATTTTGAAATATATGTCATTAAGCTGGGACATAAGATAACTTATAACTTATCTTATGACCCAGCATTAAGTAAGTACCAAAAATTATCATTATCAAAATCCACTCTAGAATGGGGGCATAAACAGAATGACAAATCAAGCCTTCAATGTTTTTGTGGCCATCAAAAAGATGATTTTTGATTACCTACAATGTTGACTTTTACCACATTTATTTTCTAATCAAATACTGGGTTGAAAAAGGTTATTCATGTGGTAAGATCTTGTGAAAGACCAACACTGGTCTAGAGGAAATTTTAATCAGTTTTAACCTCTACAAGATTGTGAAAGTAATTTACTCTGCGCTAAGAGTGTTGTGTCCAAATCCATTTCCCTTAGGAAATTGACTAGCTTTTTCCCATGTTTTTATAAAAAGATTCAGGCAGAATGTGGTTAAACTATTAATTTAGCAGAGTAGTATTTTAGCAGAGTAGTCAAGATTACTGACTTCAACACCTCTTGCCCTTCACTGGCTCAAATCTTATCAGGGACTTTGTCTTCTTAAATGTAAGGAAGCTATTCATCTATCTAACAGAAGATTCTACTCAGCAGCCCACTTAATGCATTCTGCCTGATATAATGTACAACGGACCACCTGAGATCTTCCTCCAGAGACACCATATAGTGTCAGTGTGTGACTTAAAATCTAACACCTTTATTTACAGCTAAATATATTTATCAATATCACTTACTTTTTCATGCAAAATTTTAAATATAAAGGGCCAATGAGAAAAATTACTGAACCATAAACAAACACCCTTAATTGGATTAAAACCAACAAGATTATAATTGTCTCCCTTTTTTCTGGGTTCAGTTTTAAGTCATGCTGTAAGAAAACTTTTCAGCTTTAATGATGGACAAAGACGTCTGTACATTGTGTTTGACATGAGCAGACACCTGTGTAGAACCATCAACCTTCCATTAGTCAACATGTTTACATTTGTCAGTAAAAATCTGCTTGACTTACGTTAAAACTAGTGGATTGCCACCATAATGTTCTCCAGTAAGTATTGATGGGCCTTCAGACTGAACAACTTCTACAGGTATACGTAACACATTACACAATGCTTGTATCTGCAATAAACCACATCATATCATTTACTGTGTATCACATGGTAACTTTCTATACTATATAGTTAATAAAATATTATCTAGTCAGGTATGTATTTCTCATTGTTGTTTAGGTTAATAATAAAAATACAATATTTATGTGACTTTGTAACAGACCAATTACAGGGCCAGCTAAACTTTTTTTCCACTTTCAAATTTTTGCCAGTACAAAAATTCTAACTCCATAAAACAAAACTAAACTTGCATGTTTTCAACATAATATTTACCAATATTCATCATGATGCATATATCTATATTTGTTTATTGTTGCTATTTTGTAAGAATTGCCATTGGAAATGACATTTTTGTTAACATTTCAGTTTTATTAATTTATGTTTATTAACTATCTGCTACACTAGCAAAAATTTGCGAGTGTAAACAAAAGTTACTGGTATTTTTCTATTTTAACTTGTATTTTGCTATATTTTTTCCCTGGACTAAAAGCAGTACAAATGTATTTACATTTTACTCATAGCAGACAGTATAGATTTTTGCAATCCATATACCCAACGTCACTCTAAATCAATAAATGCCAGTCTTTTAGATGTACTTATATGAAATACAGTCGGTCATTCTGGGATATATGTTTGTATTTTTTTAAAAGTATTTTTGGGAACAATCAATATTAACTAACATCTCTCCTTATTAAAACATAATTAAGTATTTTTATCGTTTAAGAAAAGTTGTGTAAGAGTACACAAAAAATCATCTGTATAGTAAATCATTATCACAAAAGTGTACAAACCCCACAACCTAATTATTACCTCCAACTGTCCTCCCCATGCTGGTGTAGTCTCTAAATCATTACAGTAAGCTTCAAAATCATCTGTAATAAAAGTTTATATGAGCCCCGCCATGACAAAACCAACAAAATGGGTTTCCAACCAGCATGGATCCAGATCAGCCTGCGCATCTGCGCAGTCTGATCAGGATCCATGCTGTTCGCTATCAGTTTCTCTACTTGTTATAGGGTTTGTAAGCGAACAGCATGGATCCTGATCAGACTGCGCGGATGCTGAGGCTGGTCTGGATCCTTGCTGGTTGCAAACGCATTACGCTGGTTTTGTCATGACGCAGCTCATATTATAAAGATGTGATACAAAATTATATCATCCTAAGGAATTCATTCATTACAGTAAAACCTAGAACAAATGTTTTTTTTATATGTACAAACCAACAAAGGACTTTGTGAACTAATGCATGTAGTATTTGTATTTGCAGAAGTTTGAATGATATCACTGCCACATCTCAACAATTTATTTGCTGAAATTAAGTATCAACCATTTTAAAGTTCCAGTCAACACTCAAACGTTAAAAAAGTAAAACGTTGGCTCAGAAATGAAGATATGGCTTGTAAGGTATTTTGGTATATAATTAGGATGAATATATTTTGTCTTATCAGTTACTGAGAAGTTTCACTGAGAATACAAAATTAAATCTACAAATGCTTCTTTTCTGAACAGCAAACTCATATCTTAATCACTAATAAAATATTTACATGTGGTATTTATTGTTTCTGTTCTACCAACAAAAATATGTAAATCATAGATCATATTCAAAATCAAATAAAAATATCAGTTAAATGTATAAGTTTTCTATCTGAACTATTATTGCAAAAAATTGATATTTATTGATAATACATCATTATATGGACCAATCCAGGGTTCCCTCTGGGTCAAAATTAGTTTGCGCCACCAAATTCGCCACCAATCAGAAAAAGTTAGAGCCAATGGCTCCAAAGTTGGAGCCAATATGGAGCCAATAATTCTGCAAGGGAGACATGCCTATCTTTAGCAGTTATATATCATTAAGATTAAAAACACATATTTATAATATTTCATTTTATTACAGCTGCACATGTTTATTACCTAATATATAGACATAGTATTATGTGGTTTTCAAATTCCATTTGAATAAATACATGTGTCATTATAAATGTAATCAAAAACATCATTTTAAGTTAGTAGTGAGGTTTGGAGGTCCTGTTTTCCACCGTTTTGCCATAAGCTGTTCTTATCACTTATTCATTCTCACTGACTGGACTGAGCCATGATCTTTCCAGCTTCTATCTGACATTCTGGTGATCTACAGATACAAAATAAAAAAACATTACTGTAAATTGACTTCATCTAAAAATCAATAAGAACAAAAATGAAATCGATACTTAGTACTTTTTAACAATGAAGAATATTGTTTATTTTAATAGGTTTTGCATGTGATTAGACATTTCAGCACTTTACATTCAGATATGAAAATATTAACGCTGCAGTAAACGGTGGCTTTAGATCAATCATTAGTGAAATTATTCTTTTAATTGTCATCCGATTTTATATTTCAAACTGTAATTATTTAAATCAGTTGACGAGCCAACTTACCTAAAGTTCAATGTTTGTCAACATCACAGACGATCTTTCATTTCTCTGATTCGCTACTAACACCATTTGACCACATGTGTAATTATCAGTGCTCCAAGTCAGAGGATTAAAGACGTAAATTGTTCCAATTAACACATTGACACTTTTATCTTGTCATGTTCCCGAAGTGTCACACAATTGATGACATAATTGATGATACAGTTTGATAAACAAACTAATCGCGCGTGACCTTTCACATTAGGGTCGCTTATCTAATAGACGCGGCCGCTTATGATATTTAAGTGTACTAGTTGTCGGATGCTTTTATCTTACGTTGGCGCCAGTAAAATTCGCCAATTGAAGATTTTATGCGCCAGAATTAATATTTTGTCGCATTTGGCGCCATTGGCGAGCGACAGCGGGAACCCTGCAATCAGGTTTAATATAAATTTAGTTAATGTACCTAAGAGTATATTATAACAGCTTTGTTTTTAGGAAGTGGCTAGCCGTACGGGCCCGTACGGCTAGTCAAAAGTTCTAGCCGTACGTGAGTCACGTACGACTAGCCTGGACACACTGTATTGGCTAGCCGTACGGCACTTTTCAAAATTAGATGGAAGTCGAAAATGCATATGCTATTTTGTGTCTTTAAACAACGATTTTAATCAAATCTCCGCATTTGTCCTAGTGAGTTCACTTTAATATAAAGATGTTCCGCAATTTTGCAAAAAAAAATAAATACGAGTAAGCATTGTATAATCTATCTTAATAAAATTAAGTGTCAAAGTTGCATGTTATAATTAACGTCCTTAATTTTCATGCTTATGATTTTTATGAAGATGAATTGTTGAATCTGTTAATTAAGCACATGGATCGAATAAATTATGATCGGAGGGGAATAAATAAACAAATAAAAAGATTATTAAAAAAAACGGTGAAAAGGAGAAATAGTTTAATAATGCAAACTTTCCTTAATGATGGACAAACATCTATACCGTCGGTAATTGACGCAATTATCAGAGCCCAACAACAATTATTTTCGGTGTTTTTTTTGTTTTGTTTTTTTAATTTAAAAATTGAACTTAATGAAACAAAAAAGGATTATTACCAAAATTTTGTAAACTATTTCAATTGATGTTATTTAACTGCAACCAAACGCTATTTTTTCTCGTCGCCTTCAGATGACAAAGTACATTCTTTACTGTAGCCAACACGTCGATTAATCTCTAAAAAGTAAACATTCTTGACTAAAATCCTCGCTTAAAGTCATAATTAACATATGCACTTTCGCCTTCCATATATTTTTGAAAAGTGCCGTACGGCTAGCCAATACAGTGTGTCCTGGCTAGTCGTACGTGACTCACGTACGACTAGAACTTTTGGCTAGCCGTACGGGCCCGTACGGCTAGCCACTTCCTTGTTTTTAATACACATAAAAATAAAACTAGTATTACATGTATGTCTATATAAGAAATATCCTGGAGTTTAAATATTATACATGTATTATACCTTGTGTAAAGCAGTCACCATTATCTTTAGATAGAAATGGAAGAAAGTCGTCAGCATGCTCCCTCATGTACTTAGCAACTTGAGTCCTCAAACTGTCCACACTACTCTGTCAACAGACACAACATATCAATATGTTATTCAAGTCCATTTTAATCAAATTTGCATGTCATGAATGCTTATGTATTATATTAAATTGTCATCTATTTTAGAAAACAATAAACAAGACTTTTTCCAGCATTTTTGGAACACAAGTCTTTTAACACCCTTAATATTAGAAATGTTAGCAGCATTTTCCTAAAAACTAGGAATTCATGTTTAGTGGCTGGGGCAGTGATCATTCAGAACATGGGTTTGAACCATATTCCATTCACAAACCACATTCCATCATAGGAAACCAGTACAGGTTAGTTCCAACAAGCAGACTCAATACTGGTTTAAATCAGCTTCAAGCTGTTATCACAAACAAGCTAAATGAAATACAGTAAACTCCGCTTACAACAAACTCATCGGGGACATTCAAAATCTGTTACTTATATCCGGAGTTCCTTTTAAGCATATAGCGAATTAGTTCCTTGTATCAGGAGTTTTTATAGCGAACAGATTTACATATAACGAACTGTTTGTTTACCAACGTCTGCCATTTTGAAGAGCATTTGATTAAGAAAAAATAGTTGTTTATTTCTATTTTAGACACAATATCCGAAAGCGTACTTTTTGGAATTTGAAAATCCTTTGGTATTTCAGTTTTAATTTTACTCCCTTTCTCAATTTCACATAAAACATCATATTCAGTACTTTTCGTTTTCTTTCCATTATTAAGAAAACCAAGATTTTCGATTTTTCTTTCCTTTTATATAGGTTAACGCACGTTTTTCCGTGTTATAACGTCTGCAGAGTCCCGAGGAACGGTTGGTGCCCGAGCCGGTAGGGCGAGGACTCTAACAGTTCCAAGGGACTCTGCAGACTTTATAACACAAAATAGATTTCTTTTCATTTAAATTTTAAATCAAGCATACTTTGTAGTAGTTCAATGATTTATACAAAACGAAAGTTGAAAATGCGGGATCAATTTACGGATAGCCGATATTTTGGAGTTCGTTATAAAAGTTTAATTTTCTGTACTTTTAACTAAATTGGGACTAAGAAATGAGTTCCTTATAAGCGATAATTCCTTATAACCGTGTTCGCTATAACCGTATATTTTTATATTAGACAAAGAAGGGCAAATTTTGGGCCAAAATAAATTGTTCCTTATAACCAGAAGTTGGCTATAACCGTGTTCGCTATAAGTGAAGTTTACTGTACTGTTTAACTATGACTGCGAATTTGTCTAATAATAAATTAAGCAAAATAGTTTTCAATTAGAGCCTGGTATGTGTAGTCAGATTACAACTACACTTCAACAACACTAAATTAGCTATTGTCAGTACAGTACTAAATGAATTATAAGTCATGCAACAACACTAAATTAGCTATTGTCAGTACAGTACTAAATGAATTATAAGTCATGCAACAACACTAAATTAGCTATTGTCAGTACAGTACTAAATGAATTATAAGTCATGAAACAACACTAAATTAGCTATTGTCAGTACAGTACTAAATGAATTATAAGTCATGCAACAACACTAAATTAGCTATTGTCAGTACAGTACTAAATGAATTATAAGTCATGCAACAACACTAAATTAGCTATTGTCAGTACAGTACTAAATGAATTATAAGTCATGCAACAACACTAAATTAGCTATTGTCAGTACAGTAACTTAATGAATTATAAGTCATGCAACAACACTAAATTAGCTATTGTCAGTACAGTACTTAATGAATTATAAGTCAGATCCATGCTGTACATTGTTGATTCTATCAAAATCGTAAAATTTAGCACAGAACAGTATAGAGGTTGTTAGAGGCTGGTTTGGATGCAGAGGGCCTAACTTGTAACATATGAAAGTTGTTAATACTATAATATAGATATAATATGTAATACATACTGAGATTTTTCTGTCCTCCAACTGATGGGCAACTGCTGCATATAAACTAAAAAATATAAAAAATATCCAGATATAGTTAGTCTAGAAACGGAAAATGTTTAGAGAATGATTTACATTTATCTCTTTTCAAGACTCAAACAGTTAATACATAGCTATCACTGTAGCTGCTCAAATGGAATGAAGCTATGGTTGCTAAGCTGACTATGGTTGCTTGTAGCAATACTGCTGAAGAATTATTTTTAGCACAAGAAGGCAACTGAGAAGAACAACCAACATTCCAAAAGCTAGCTGGAAATGTTCTATTTAGGAATGCAATGCTCTATATAATCATTTGAACCAAAAGTGGCAAGTGGTACTTTTACTTCAAAGTCAGAGACCTTAAATGCTTGGTCACCAGATTCAAACTGTCTGGATGAAATAACCCATTACATTGTACTTTCATTATACTAAGACCGGGGTCATGTATTTTGTAGTATTGCTATTAGTATAAATGCATTTACAATGATGCTGGTTTATCTGTGATATCTAAAATACCATTCAAAATACCTTATCATGCTAAGACTATAAACATATTACACAAAAAACAATGATAATTTATTCCTTATTCACATGTCAGTTATCTTATTGGTAAAACTTAAGGAAAAGTTTCTACCAAACTTACCAATTACCATCAGAGGGAATCTGAAAATACAAATGATCAACATTGTTATTAAATGAAACTACTCCCAATGTCATGAGAAATTAAAACCCAATGTCATGAGAAATTAAAACATGTACAGGGAGGTAATCAATTAACTCATATAAGTATTCATAACTAATTAAAGTTTATATAAAGTTATTCATAAACTAAGATTAATGTCAAAAAGGCATTTCAATGTTCATCCCATATTAAAAACTCTTTATTTTGGTGAGATTAACAACCAGTACATGATAAACCCAAAAAACGTTTTAATGTAATTATAAATATTTCCTTTTCTAAACCTACCATTACATTTTTAACACAAAATCATCTTTGTAATTACTCATTACTTTGTCAAATTAACAAAATGGACTCTTGTAACTTCCCAAAATAGCTTAAATGAGTTTCACAAACACTGTAGATGATGCCTTTATCACAAATGATATTCAACTTTGGTACAATTTGTTCTATACTGCTCTATTTACAGAATGGATATTTGCTACATTCATAATTATATAAGTACTATATGCCAGCAAGCAGAATTGTTTTTGGATGTATTCATATTATACAGCATACTTATAAGTCTATAAAATTACCAATACCAGCCCACCTAACATGTCTTCTATATATGACCTGCATTAAATTCATAACTGTCCAAAATTTAGGGCAAACAGTGTTAAAATTAATAAGAGTTGTCAAAATTTGTGGGCTAGACAATTCTAGTGGCCTCTTGAATATAACAATTACTGTATTAACAGTTAGTCAGACATCATGGAAATTTAGGCTGGTCAAGCTCTATAATAGAATCAAAAGGACTGTTCAAATCACCACTAAAACATTAGAATGCTGAAACTAACCTCATGTATCTGTAGACCTCTCTGTTTAAGGACTGACTTTATTTTCACAGCTTCCATATGTCTAGATGATGTCAGGTTCTCTATCTCTTGTTCTCTTATTCTCTCTTCCCTCTCTTCATCCTTAGCTGCTTTCTTGTTCTGTACATAAATGTATCATGTTTAACTTGTATACAGACCTGGGGTAATCATTAATTGTAATCATTGATTTTTTAATTGATTACATGATTACACTGTAATCATCATGTAATTGATTACCTTGCCCAAAATTGATTACATTAATTGTAATTAATCAATTACAGCTTAAATTCAGTCAGTAATTATGATTACAATTCGATTGACATTGATTACTTTCAGATTTAACAGGAAACTATTTTAATTCAAAGGATGCCTTTATTTTACATGATACAGTTTATCTTTTGTATTGCATTTATACAGTAAAGGTTCTTAATAAAGACCATCATCTGGGCTGGACCAAAGTGGTCTAAATTGTGGGGTGGTCTTAATTGTGAATATTCTCATCATTGCTTACATACTTATCACCATGATCTATTTTAGTCATTTAACAGCATGTATCTTAAGCTACAAATACAATATAAGACACTATAAAAGTATGCTATGATATTTGATGAGAGGAAGGATATTTCTGAAGAAATTTAAGATACAATTCTCTTTGGTCAGATTTCAATATCAATTATAATATGATGTACATAAATCACCTATCGAATAAAACTTAATTCTTCACAAAATAAATTCGCTGAAAGCAACATTAAACCACTCTAAAATTAATCTTCTCACCTTATTTCATACAATGACCCAATAATAAAAGTTTTTCACACCTGAAATTAAGTGTCATGCATTTTAGCATTCAAGCAGATCATAACAACAAATTTTATATCTAGATAGGTGTTGACTTTAATATCAGTGGTCTCAATAGTTGGGTCAAATTAAGAATAAAGCAAAGAATTTGGACCAGGGCTTCCGTTAATGGAAGTTTGGGAGTCATTTACTCCTTGCTTTTGACTTGTGACTTCCAAAATTTAATGTTTTTCCTTCTTTACATATATAGCATGACTTTCAACAATGGGTACAGAGATTTTGCAGTCTCTGACTTCCAAATTTTGAAACTTAATTGGACTGAATCAGGTGGTCTTAAAAGTGGATAAGCAGTTGTTTTTAATTCTGGATCATTTAACCATTGTCTAAAGAACCTTGTAAAAAATAGTCTTATTAAAGGGGTGGTCTTAATTCAGGGGTGGTCTTAAGTAAGTATTCTACTTCACATTGAATGTAATCAATTATCAATCAATTACTCTCTTAAAATAATTGTAATTTAATTGATTACAGAGGCAAGTGTGAGTAATCAATCTTAATCAATTACAATAAAATCTGAAAGTAATTGTAATTAAATCAATTACTGATCAATGTAATCAGCCCCAGGTCTGCTTGTATAGAAGTAGAGTTTTCAATCTATGCAATAAAAATATGAAAGGAATGTAAAGAAAATATTTTATCAGACCTTATTCATTAGAATAATAATAGGCTCATCTCATAGGTTTTTTGTATTTTGATAGTACTAGTATCATTAATCATAAATTATATCATAAAATGCACATGTAGATATCTATTTCCAGAACATTGTGAAAATATTGAAGGCATTTATTTACCAGGAAGGGAAGTAAAGGAAATTAAGGGAAAAAAAAAACAACAGAAAAAACAGACAAAATTTAACCACAAATAAGAATATTTATTTATGCAAACTACAGGAACTTCTTAAAAAAAACTTTCTAGTGTTTTGTACACATATATTCTTAAATAACGTTTTATGCCAAAAACAAGAAGTTAGACTAAACTGCGCCCCTAAAATAAGAAATCAGACTTGTCACTTACCCTTCTTTTCTGTGCTTTACTTTGTTTCTTTGGTTTTGCTGATTGTTGTACCACTTCATCTTGTCCATCATGGTCCTCAGTGCTCAATTTGTCCACTGAATTAACAACTTCTTCAATTTCAGCATCCTAAAATGACCAACATCTAAGAGATCAGAAAGATACTGCAATAGCATTCACATGTATTTACAAGTTGTCATAATGAGAAAATTGAATGAGTGAAGATTATTCTTCAAGCTGAATAGAATTATATTATGCGAGCCTTTTACAAGCACAATATCATGTAATCAAAGAGTTCAATGAATTTAGTTATGAGCTTACATGAATATTCTATTTATTACATACATAAATAAGAACTATTTTTTCATTTAAAACAATCACTTTTTCATTGACATGACTAGTGTTACTGTGTAATGCCAACAATGTGCACTTTTTAGCTACATGTATGTCTATATAACTTAAATGATATCACATCAAATATATGCACGACCGTGCCATACTATTTTTACAGAGTCATAAAAGCTGTGATAAAATGAAACACTGTACACAAGTTAAAATGTTTTTCTGGGTAATTTCCCATATATACATAAATGCCCCTATGCCCATTTAACATGTGACATTACACTCATTTACATTGAAACTTCTATTGCATTATATATAATTTTCATAAATTAAATCAAACTTGAAGTCACAAATTTTCCTTTATTACTGTCATTGCAAAATTATGTTCACACATCTGTACATCTTACCATTGTGGGGTTAACATTATGTACAATATCACACTAAGGATGTGATATTTATAATGAGGAAATGAAAGATAACAGATGATGGATTATTTCTTTCAGTAAACACCATTTTTCCAGATGTGATGTAGAAATTAGAAAGTACTAACTTCCTCTACAATATTATTGTCTTTAAGCTCTGCCAGTTCCTTCTGATGTTTAGCAGTCAGTTCAGCTTCTAGTAATGCAATCTTTTCTGTAGTTTCTTTCTTTTTCTTTTTATCTCCCTTGGTGACACCATGCTTCAATTTCTGAATTTCAGCTAAAAATACAAGTTACACAGAAATTTCATCAAAAACTTTGTAGAAAATAATTATAAAGTATTAAGTCATAAAAATATTTATGAGCCCTAGCCATACATGAGATAAGTACAGCTAGAACTTTTGGCTAGAACTATGGGCCTTATGGCTAGCCACTTCCTAAAGAAATCAATATATTACCTTTTAATTTAGTAAAACAATACAAACTTGTTAATTTATACATGATTGTAGATTTCTTTGCACTTTATTTTGATGTTAAGTGACAGTAAACTGACATTTAGCAATACTATAAATAGAATTTTGGTGATTTCCGTGAATAACAGAGAACATATAGTACATGAGTACATCTATAACTGCTCTGAGATGGTGACCATGCGACACCATACTATTCGCTGTGACAGATACATGTATCATTGTATGCTAACTTGCAACACAGGAAGTGCAAGAAAGGTAAATAACATGTCATTTTACATTAAAGCTACTTAATTAATTATAACCTTAATTTTATTAACTTTTATATTTCAATTACCATACTACCGTACTTAATTAATAAAGGAGAGGTACATATGATGTGGATCTACAAATTCCTCTTGTTTCTCAACATTTCTTGACAAGACTGTATGGTAAAAGATACGCCAGCATCCATTGTGCCTTATTTGACGCCTTGGACAAGTAAGAATATAATGAGCTGACAACTTCCCTACTACTGAGATTATGCAACCACATTTCAGGAATTGGATCTAACAACTTAATTAATGACAGGATTTATGAGGATGATTTTTAATTTTGTGGAAATGTTTAATACTGTGCATGTGTCTATTGTTAATATCTAGTGATGAAAAAAAGTGTGTGGTTGTTATGCTCTCATGAAGACCAACTAATTAGACTTGTCAAAGACACATCAAGATAATTTTGGACTGGCAATGTCTTTTTCAAAGTACAACCACAAACTGCTTAATTCTACACAGACGCTAGCCCAACTAATTAGACTTGTCAAAGAGACATCAAGATAATTTTGGACGGGCAATGTCTTTTTCAAAGTACAACCACAAACTGCTTAATTCTACACAGACGCTAGCCCAACTAATTAGACTTGTCAAAGAGACATCCAGATAATTTTGGACAGGTGGTGTCTGGTTTGACAGTATGAAAAAAAAAGTTTGTAAAATGGGTCAAATCGTTCACGCCAAATTAATTAGGCTAGCTCTCATGATGATGTGTATATATATATAAATACTTTTACATGTTCAGATAGTTTAGCTTTGATAATTTATTCATATAAGACGTGTACAAAATGCACATGATCACAAAATACATGCATTCAAATAAAATAAAATGTATTCTTCAAGAAAATAATGAATAAAATTAGTGTATAAATCTTCAAAGATCTTCTCTTTAATTGCATGAAAATGCGTGACAAACCACATATTAACACCTACGATAATTGACGTGCCATGTATACAATAAATATTTTTAACACTATCAAATAAGTTTGCCGAAACCATAACCTATTTTGTTATAGTATAATACAAGATAAATTTATCGAACCTGTATTTCGACGAAACCACTTTCACCCCTATATAGTTCTGGCTTCCATATAAAACTTTATATGTCGCTTTTATTTTGATGTTGTGCGACAGACAGTAAAGTTATGGGTCAACCCTATTTGCAAAGGCTACCAGGATTTTGGCAGTTTGTGTGCAGTACATAAAAACCTTTTAAAATCACCCTTATTAATCAAATTTGGCTCAAATAAAATTCTGAATCAATTCATGTTTTGTTTTTAAATGAAACTTCAATGAAATTGTGTACCCAACTATTTAATATGGAAATATGTAGAGAATGTTTACCAATGCCAATATGGAGTCTGCTTTCAAATGAAATCTGGTGGGACTTAAGTTTTGGGAATTCTAGCATCTATTTTTAGTAACGGACCATACACTATTTTTACTAAGTGTACAATTTTAAATTAATTCATGAATCATCACTCAAAACATAAATCCAACATGTTTTTGGTACAATGTCTGTTGTTGAATAAATACACGGTTATTCATAATTGCAAAGCCAAAGCATTTGGGTCACCAAATGTCATGCAAAGGTATCCGAACCTAAATTCTCGCTAGTCACGTGATAATTAGGGCAGCAATGGTGGCGAATTTTATGAAATGTGAACCCACTGATAAACTATGAGGCATTATTTCATCAATCTAACGTTCTGTGTTCAAAAATATAGACTGAAGTGTCCCAAATCAGGGTATTCCCCAGGATTTTTTTTAAGCGCTACATTTTTTTAATAAGACGGGGGTGGGTGCGGGAGGGGGTTTTGACCCCCATACCGCGTGTCGAAAATTTTTGCCATTTAAGGTGTCAAGATACTGCTGTGGGCTGTTTTAAAACAAATAATGAAAGCTTTTCACTTGATAAACATTTTCTTAATTTTTATTATTTACTTTTTCCATTTCCAACAATTCAAATAAATAAACAATTATATATAAACACAAGTTCACAACATGTGATCAACATTTATATGTATGTGTGTGTCCCATTTAAATGAGTATATTTCAGTTGTTTTTTCTTCATTAACATCATTAAAAGTGGGCCTGTCTTCTAGGTTTGTTGTCATTCCATGCCTTGACTGCCTTCTCAAAGTTGAAAGATTCTAATGGGGGTGCTTAAAGGGAGACGGCAAGAAGATAGTTTAGAACTTTAACAGAGAGACAATTCCTGTTTTCAGTCTTAACTCTCTTCAGACAGCTGAATCCTCGCTCAAAATCTGAAATTAATAAATAAAAGTAATCATTTATGTTAACCTCATGTCGTTTATTTATATTGTTTGTTTGATGTGAATATTTGAAAATTTAAAACTTCCAGCCTGTTTAAACTTTACTAAGTAAAAAAATCATATTTGAAATGTTGAAAAACTTCTAGCAAAGTGTTACACATCTGCAACTGTCATTGGAATTTCATTAATGTTCAAGAATGAATGAATTTAATAATGCTTACCTGCAGTAGAGGTTGGGAGGAGGAGACCCACAGCAGCAATTCTGTAAAGATGACTGGTAGAAAGGTTGCCAGTAATCCAGGTCATGGTTTGGTCGGCTGACTGATCAGTCCCCTCTAGACTGGCACGTACCTGGTGCCAGTGGCTGCGGCACTGCTCCATATCTACACCAAAGTGCCTGGCCAGCTCCTGTATGTCCTGACAAACCAATGCTAAGGGGTAGGACACTAGATTGCACTTCACAAAGCTGTCCATCAGGCTCGATTAAAGAGGGCCTGCAAAGTTAATATTTTTTTTTCATTTTGGGGATTCACTGAACAGAAACAGATTACAAGACATTTTTAATTAAAAAAGAAAATGACCAATTGGCTGTCACTAAGTGGGATTGTTGATGTAAAGTTTTTGTTGTTGTTTTCACTCATTTGCAAGTTGATAATGAACAGTCGTTAATGTTTTCAATGTTAAAGTAGCCATCAACCAAATTTATTTCTGAATATCTATGCAGTTTAACCCAAGAGTAAAAAAAGAAAAAAAAAGCAAAATGATCCTGAGACAGTTTCAACGACATTGCTCACGGAAAAAAAAATTGATAGTGAACTAGGCTTCCCTTATTCATGTTAGACATATTATTTTTTGAAATCTTAATACTACAATACTGCTTTAGACGTAACGATCATAAGAAAGTGAAAGATGAAATTGAACATTACACTTATATCAAGACAATTAACCCATTCATCCCTAAATATCAAACTGTTATATCGCATGTCAATTAATGCCAATTATATTATCAAAGCAATAAAAGTTATTACACCTACCTGAAACATGTAAATATCACACATGCCGCGGTTAAATTGCACCCATCTCAATACACGGTAATTGACAACACCTGAAAGTGCACCAGCAGTCGTCTGCAGACATCGATGACAGGTGTCTGTGACGTCACACAGTCTAAAAGGCAATCAGTGTATCGGATTGTGTATACGCCTCGGGTAATTATCTACACAGGACATGTATATTGGCTTGTTTATTTGGCTAATTGGGGTTAACTTATAGACACAAAAGAAAGGGATATCGGTCATTTTTTAAAGCGCTATGATAATTTTAAGCGCATCGGGATTTCTTGTTCTGAAATTTTAGCGCATCGGTGCCGATGCGCTAAAAGCGCCTGGGGTATTCCCTGCAAATATATCTAACTACCTGTATTAAAATAGCTTTTGTCCAGATCACGCAAATTTATTGAATAACAGCATAACATTATAAATATGTCAAGGTTCTGGTTGACTTTCCATACGGGATTGGCTTCAGCGAACAGGTCTAGCAGTACTATAAAACCTGTTCGCTGAAGTCTCTTTTGATTACCCCTATAAAACATATTAGCCAAAGTCTCAAGTAACTTTATATATGACCGCCTCTGTGGTCGAGGGGTTAGAGTAAATGACTTCTAATCCAGTTACATCTGCAGGGCCGGCAAAATCTGATTTTGACTTACTTGTCCGTTTTTATTTGAAGCATTTTTAACTTGTCCGTATGATATTTACATAGTTAATTCTTGAAAATTTTCACTTGTCCGTACAGGCTGTGGGACAACCTGGGCAATACGGACAATTGATTTTGCCGGGGCCTGATCTGTGGCGTGGGTTCGATCCCTGGGAGATGCTTTGGTAGTTTAGCACGGAGGAAGGTAGTCTAGTACTGGTGTAACTCTCCAGGAAACTACCCGCCTATTTGACTGAAATACTGTTGGGAAAAGGCGTACAATGAAACAAACAAGCAAACAAAAAACATTATATCTCTCTTTCTCTCTCTTTTCAACGAAAGTGATAGGTATACAATGATGTTTCAGCTACTTGATTATGAATTGAAGATTTTCAGGACTATGAGAGACGATAATACCCCACCCACTATCTAATTTATGAGAAACGATATTACCCCACCCACTATTTTTGCCTATACCTGACACATATCAACCATTATAACTTATAAATAGTATTTATCACCGGATGAAATTTAAAGGAAAATATTCAAAATGTAGTGCTTTTATAATCTTAAGCACCTTGGAGGTCCTTCTTCTCTTTCCTTTGACGTTGTAGCAGTAGTTCTTCCGAGTCACATTTTTTATCTCCAAAGTCGGCCATCTTCTTATGCAGCTTACATCAATAGAAAAAGTAAAATAATTGTCTCTTATTTCACGAAATAAATAATTGTTCACAATCTTTGTTTTTTTCAAAAGTAAACACGATAAAAATTATTGATTTATAATATCGAGTCTTAATGATTTAAAATCCTTTTATACTTTTGTTTTCACTCTATGTTGTAAGCATTTGTACACCAATTTAGTAGGATAATTTGAGAGCCTCTGAAAATGGTATTGTTATTAACCATACAGCTTGTATATTTTGTTAAAAGTACTTAATACGATACATATTAATTGTTTACAGGTGATACTTACAAGAATTTCATGTCCAATATTTCTGTACTTACAAGAATTTCATGTTCAATATTTCTGTACTTACAAGAAATTATTTCATGTCCAATATTTCTGTATGAAAGATCTAATATTTATGTAATGAATCATGATTTAATTTGTGAGACATCTGATATGGGTCGGTCTATTTACCCCAAGACACCCCAAGACTACTCTGGGACAGAAAGATACACATTTTTAGTCCCAAGACACCCAAGAAACCTATATATTGTGTATATTGGGAAAGTGTTATTATCAGATTATAAACGAAACCTGATTATTTATGTGTCATTTTGTTAATTACTGTCTAATATATCAAATATTGTTAATTATGTATGGACTTCATCACTAAAATATTTATTGATGTGCTCTTTAATATTAAAAAAAGAAATATTTTGATTAAGATTAACTTTACTGAAACAACAAGACTATGTTAATCTGTTAATCTAATGAAAAGTTGGGCAGATGAAATAAAAAAAAATCAATGTAATGAAACAAAATATGATCGATTTAATAATCAGGCATCAAAAATGTGTCACTCATAAAATGACATTATTGCAGAATTAAACTTGCTGAGTTGCACCACACCCAAATCCCCCAACATTGGCATTATTTCATTGTTGTAAACTATTTTGCACAAAAAAGAATATATTTATAATCTAAATCTTACATTAAAAATACATGCAGTGAAATAAATGAAGAGAGATTTAATGTGTAAAGGTGAAGTCGCATTGTTTCCTCCCATAAAAAGGTAAAATTGAGACATATTTACATGTCAGTAAAAGTGTCTCGGGGTGTCTCGACGTTGTCTTGGTGTGTCTTGATGTAGTCTTGGGGTAGTCTAGGGGTAAATAGACCAACTGATCTGATAGAGGTACAAAAAGTTATCTAGACTATTCTAGAAATTCAACAATAGTGTTGACCACCCCCCCCCCCCACACACACACACACACTTTGAAAAAAAAAGGGATTTTCAAAAACAAAGGCTGCTAGCCTATGATAAAGTGCAATTACTGCATAACATTTAACAAAAATTATGGTGTTTAATTCAAGCCACTGGACTGGTCTTTTTTCCAAGAATTTTGATATAGCCAAACTGCTTATTCTGAATAAACAGGACCAAACTTGCGAAAGTTGCATTAATCCCGCAAATGTGCCTCCTAGAATAAACACTGCTGGTGTTTGGTTGCCTTTTTTAGCTCGACTTTTCTATGAAAAGGGGAGCTATCCTACTTGCCCCGGCGTCGGCGTTAGCGTTAGCGTCGGCGTTGGCGTCACACCTTGGTTAAGTTTTTCGTACCACCCCACTTTATTTCAGAAGTATTACAAGTATGGCTTTGAAACTTACCATACTTGTTCACCATCATAACCTCCATCTACAGACAGGAGTACATAACTCTGTCAAGGTTTTTGACAGAATTATGGCCCTTTTTTGACTTAGAAAGTGTATTGAGCTTGGTTAAGTTTTTTGTACCACCTCACTTTATTTCAAAACCATTGGAGGTATTGCTTTGAAACTGACCATACTTGTTTACCATCACGACCTTCATCAACAGACAAGAGGACATAACTCTGTCAAGGTTTTTGACAGAATTATGCCCCTTTTTGACTTAGAAAATACATTGAATATGGGTAAAATCCACTTATTGCCTTAACCCTTTGAGATATTGCTTTGAAACTTTTAATGCTATTTCACATCATTACCCCCATCTGTACGCAAGAGAAGGTAACTCTGTCAGGGATTTGTTTTAAAAATTAAGGCCTTTTATCGACTTAGAATCTTGGTTAACTTTTTTGTACCAGTCAACTTTTTGACTGAACTGGTTGAGATATTAAATTGAAAGTTGGAATACTTGTTTACCATCATGGTCCCAAAACATGGGCAGGAGAAGGTAATTCTGTTAAGGATTTTATTTGAATTATGGCCCTTTTTGACTTAGAAACTCAGTTAAAATTTTCATTCTTGTCCACTTGTTGACTTAACCATTTGAGATATTACTTTGGAAGTTGGAGTTCTTATGTGCCATCATGAGACCTATCTGTAAGCAAGAGAAGATAACTCTGTGAAAATGTTTCTTGATTTGTACTTAGAAATTCCTAGTTAAAGTCTTGTGTGCCCTTAACTGTCAAAGTTTTGTTTTATAGGCAAGCACTAAAAAAGTCGAGCGCGCTGTCCTTCTGACAGCTCTTGTTTTAGTTCAGTTCAGCTGCTTTAGCCACTAACACTGACTGCATCTAAAGTCACAGAATGCCTATCCCTTCAAAAGTCATATGCAGAGGGATAAAAAATCCTAATATTTTTACCCTCCTTTGACCCTTATCCCAATTTCTGATATCAGAGTTTGAATTCCTGATATTTGTCTTTCAGTCTACTCTAAATAACAAATTTCAATGTAAACAAATCAGTACCTGTCTATAAAATGTAAGCTGCACCTCTGGTCATTAATTGGTGATATATAGTATCTGTCCATATCCTTTATGATAGTGGATTAAATCTTGTGTAGCTGATTGACTGCAGGGTGATGTAATTCAATGGGATAAATGCTCCTTGTTGTTAGCTGAAGTTTATCTTACATGTTAACTGAGCATGTATCACCTTTCACATTTTTAAAAGATTTACAGTTTAAACCCTGTGATTTAATGTATTTTTGGCATTAGCACAAGCTATGTCACAATGACCATGTGAATTTGTTCATATAATAAAACTTAAAAAGTTGGCGCCACCTTTTATATCCTTCAATTAGTGCTGCACTGATACATGTAAAGATTAAAGATCAGCCAAATTTATACATTAAACTGGGTCATTTAAAAAGCTATTTGAAGTTTGACAAAAGCATGTCTAATTCATTTGTTTTTAGCAAGTCGGTAATATATATATTACACATTTAGGAATTTAATGAATTATACTTTTTTCAAATGACTTATTTTCAAAAGTGTAGATTTAGAAATACCAAAAAACTTCTTTTATTGGTCTAAAAAAATTGACTCGATCTTTTTTACAGTGTGAGCAAAATTACTGTGTTTTGATCATGATTAGTTTTTCAAGCATGTTTTCAAATATACTTTTTGTATCAGATGAAATTACTTGTCAGTTAAGTACTTTTTAGCTCGACTTTTTTTTAAAAGTAGAGGTATTGTTATAGTCGTGGCGGCGTTGCCATTGCCATCCGCAAACTTGTACCTGGATCATAACATTTTTAGTTCTTGGTGTATTGTCTTCATACTTGGCCACAACAACCCTTGGGACAAGACCTTTCAGTAGACCACTCTAACCATGACCTTCACTCATAAATGACCTTGACCTTCCTTCAAGGTCAAAAGTCCAAATTTTGCTTGTTCTTGCTATTATTGGCTGTCTCTGATCTTTATTTTCGGCGAGCAGATACGATTCTCGATCGTAATTTAAGGCCATACGTCCCTTAACGGAAGCCCTGTCTCTTCAAACTTGAACATAATAATCTTCAAGGATAGTCCTTAAAAATAACCAGACAGACCTTGACCTTCATTCATAAATGACCTTGACTTTGAAGGTCAAATTATTGAAATTTTCTTTTTTTTTTTGGCTATTATTGGCTGTAACTTTGTTATTTTTGAATGGATTGTCTTTAAACATGAAAATAATAATCTTCAAGGAGAGCCCTTAAAAATAACCAGACAGACCTTGACCTTCACTCATAAATTACCTTGACTTTGAAGGTCAAATTTTTGAAATTTTCATTTTTTTGGCTGTAACTGGCTGTTACTTTGCTATTATTTATATATATATAAATGCGTTTATATAATGTGTGTATATATCTTTTTTTTTCTTCTGTAATACACATGCGGATATATATGGAAATGATTCATACTTTCACAAAACTTGCGTGACAAGACAGACCGATAAATTTATAGAAAGGAAACATTAAGATTTGTTCAAACATTTCTTTGTTTGCTTTTAGAAAAAGTAAAAAGTCGAGCGTTGCCCTTGCTCGGTTGTGGCTCTTGTTTACATGTGACATCACATTGATTATGAAAATGCTAAAACTGGTATTTTCCCTTCCATGTTTTGATTTATTGAATGCCTGAAAAGACACTCAAATAAAGTTCAAAATACGATATACATGTATATTATATGCAAACTGAAATTGATGAAATGTAACTGTTTTATACATTATGACTTTTGGCTATAGATATGATTGACATGTTCTTTTTTTTTTTGGTAGTGTTGTTCATTTAACCATGAATAAGATCATAAAAACCACAAAATGTCTTGTCTTTTTCAGAGTAATATAATATAGGTTCTTTATTCTGAATGTGCTAAAGACAATTTGAAATGCTAAAAAAATCCAGTTTTGAGCCCCTAAGGCTAAATGCAGCTGAAAGTCAGTTTTGGTCCATGTCATGATTGTATGCATATGGCACAGTTAAGTTTTACCTTACCTTTCAAAAAAGTCTTAGCAATAACAAATATAGATTATAAATTTATATACTGTTTATGACTTCAGCATGGTCGTGTAAAGGTGAAAACTACTGCGGAGCAACAGGAAGCAAAAAGGAAAGAAAGAGAGAAGAAGTTAAAACTATACATTGGGGCGACACAGATGATCTTTTCTAAAGTATGATAGTTTATAAGTAACTTTGCACCAGTCATTTATAACCCCAGCCCCCAATCTCTGTGGAATAATAGTGGATAGGAGAGAAATCAGTTCACATTTTACTTTCTATCTCTCCCCATACTGCTGGGTCAATCCCATTGTTTTGCTTTGGCACCAAGAAACAAGGTATATGTCCAATGTGCCTAGCTGTTAACTGGGGGACAGGTGTTTGCTGCATTAACCAGTAGTTAACAAATATGAATGTTCCTGCTTATATTCTTTTATGTGTAAGTTACAGAGGCTTTGGTTAAAGTTAATTGATAAGTATATAATAATTATGGAATACTTCTTGAGAAGAATGGGTTTTTATTATAATTATAATAGTTGGGAATTTTTTGTGAAGACTATTTGAACATTTCATATGAAATGTGAGAGAGAAAGAGAAATGTAAAGATTTTATTAGGGTTGTTAAAAGCAGCATAATGTTCTTCAAATGATATATGTAGCCAAGGGTCGCCGGCAGGGCCTTCGCTTTGGGGTCGTTTGGGGAATTGGACTCGCTGGCGTAGTGAGCGCCCTACACGGAAACCCTTGGTTGGTTAGGTGTGTGTGGGATACTGGTGTATTATTATTATCCAGTATCCTCTTTGTTATGATGACTTATTTTATAACTCAAAAGTCCAGTATGATGTTATTTCATTTATTTCTTTATAGCCCATTGAAAGTTCTCAAATACAAAATAATCATATAGTCCACACATATATTTTCACAGCTAGCACCTGATTTTGCTTAAGTTAATTTTACTTATTTATTTTCTAAGTTAAGACTTGATGTTATATGTCTGAAATTCTATATAAGACTTTAAGATGCTGAATGTTCCCAATTTAAAATAAGACTAATTTTAAATATAAAAATCAAAAATATAAATTAAGAAAGAGTTGTCATAGTGTTAATACCCTTAAGCTATTTTAGCAATAAATGTCAAAAGATAATCATTCAAGTATGGCTTGTTTGATAAAAGACTAGGAAATTGAGAATTAAGCCATAAAGTATTAAAATCAAAAGGTGATAATATTTCCTTATTGACCACTATGACATGTTTATATTAGAGTTGTAAAATTTATCAGTTAAGAATCTAAAAGTAATTTTTATCAAAATATTTATAGACAGGACTGATTTTAAGAAAATATGAATGCTAGAGGCATTTTATAGTACAAGTAATATCTAGAGTGTTTTAACCTTAAACGGGTATGCTGAAGACGATGAGGGTGGATACCAAGAAAATAAAATTGACCTTGACATTCAAAAGGTCAATTCAAAATGGCCGCTTAAAAATACTAAAATAGGTCATTAAAACTAAGATAAAATTTGATGTAATTAATTATTCTTTTCAAAATCAAATGATTATTCAATATTCTCTAAGTTTATACAATTATTATGTTAATTAATTACAAATTTCTAGTAATATATAAGGTAAACGCGTAAAACAAGGTCATGAAGGTCATATATATTTTTATTTCGCAAAGCATGATTATTATTATCATGTGAGGTAAAACTATATTTTATTATTAAACTAATATCATATTTAAGAATCTACTGAATGAATTTGATACTGAAGCTCTGAAAGAACTTTACTGTGTAATGTAATAAAACTCTCAATATGGTTTCATATGTATATTTATACCCCCGCACAACAAAGTTGTAAGGGGGGTATACTGGAATCAGCTTGTCCGTCCGTCCGGCCGTCTGGCCGTCCGGCTGTCCGGCCGTCCGGCCGTCCGTCGGTTTTTTCTTGTCCGCCCAATAACTTAAGATTCCTTTGACCCTTAGTCTTCATATTTGGCATGGAGGTTAGTCATGATTAGTAGATGACCCCTATTGATTTTGAGGTCACTAGGTCAAAGGTCAAGGTCACAGGGGCCTTGACTTCAAAAAGCTTGTCCGCCCAATAACTTAAGATTCCTTTGACCCTTAGTCTTCATATTTGGCATGGAGGTTAGTCATGATTAGTAGATGACCTCTATTGATTTTGAGGTCACCAGGTCAAAGGTCAAGGTCACAGGGACTTTGACTTCAAAAAGTTTGTCTGCCCAATAACTTTAGATTCCTTTGACCCACAGTCTTCATATTTGGTATGGATGTTGATCATGACTATAAGGTGACCCCTATTGATTTTGAGGTCACTGGGTCAAAGGTCAAGGTCACAGGGACCTTGACAAAAAAAAGCTTTTCTTCTCAATTGCTAAAGAATGTCCTGTCCGCAATGTATTGATTTTGACATTTTCACATTTGAAGCATGTAGAATACATAACTTAGCAATGCACTGGCTTAGTAACCTCAGATTTGGCAGGGAGGTTGTCCTTGAGCTCTAAATGGCCACTGTTGATTCTGACAAAGTGGTATGCGGGGGTATTCACGCCATGATAGTGGCAGTTCTAGTTCAAATCAGACTCATGAATTGAATGCCCATTTGTTTATATGTACACATCACAGTCTGAAGCATTGGCTTTGATAAGTCATTTAGTCTTTCAATATGTTGTTTTCTGATTTTTGTTTACTGCTCAAGAATGTGACAAAGGCTATGTCGGTCTTAAATATAAAAACGATTAGCGGGCAGATTCAATTTAATTATTAGCATTTCCAAAAATGCTAGAAATCGCCGTTCAGCCAGGTTTTCGAAAAAACAAATCGTGAAAAAACCTCATTCCTGAACAAAAGAACTAATGTTTGTTCTCTTAAGAAAAATATTTCATATATTGTTTACCCATTAGAAGCCCCCCACACTTGATTCAAGGTTTGCACATAAAGAAAGTAGTTTAATTCTATATAAAGCTAACACGACAAAAGCATGGCGGATGGCGTGCACAGTAGGGGTCCCTTTTTGAGTTTTTTTGTCTTTCGATTTGTTATCATGTGGCATTTGATTATGCATTTTGAATGGCTTATGGCAGGTGTTGTTCAGGGAGAAATGGTTAAATCTTGTTAATATTATATGTCGCTATCCAGGAACAGCAACAATAACAAAACATCTAGGTAAGGTAATGTAAATCAGTTGACTGGGTTAGAGATTCCTTAGGAGACATTCTGTTTGATTTTAGGGTTTTAATGGATTCCACTGCAAAACAATAAGGTTATGAGCGTATCATGCCATGATCTCATTTGACTTTGAACCTAGGTTGACCAAGGCTATCCTATCCGGTAATTTGGCAAACGCAACTGTAACGCTTTCATTTTCAAATCCCACAATCATCAGCTGAAATGCAATTGAGAACCTGGTGAATGTTTAAAGTTTTTGGCAAATAGGTTAGGGTAATTCGCCCTTGAGTCGAACAGCTTTACTTTTTCCGATGATCATGCAAGCGTCGAACTTACATTGTTATTGTTATCGTATGTGGATAGCTTTTGACAATACCTTAGGTCTCTTTTAATTATAATGATTACACCTTATCTCGGATATATGGTATCAAAGTACAAGAAATACTGGGGCAATCCGTTTTTGCCCTAAAGACGAACACATTCGCCCTTAAGCCGAACATGTCTGAAAGCCTTGTCCTTGAGTGGAACCAATAAGAAAACCGATCATTTATTAAGAGAAAAAATCATGTTATATAGTCACTGATTGGTCGAATTGAAAAAAGTTTGATTGCGCCATTTTTTCTGTTTTCTTCAAAATTCAATATTTAAAGTATTTTTACCAGTGAGAAAGTATCCTTATGTAACTGTAGCGATATGTGTAGCGATATGGTAAGTTAAAAACAGCTTCTACCACATGTTGTATTTTATACATCCATGCATGTTCATGGTCGTTATTATTACTTTTTAATCTAAACAACTTTGGGATCTATAGAGGTCTACGTGGTGTTATAGACATATGCGTATTTGAAGTGACACCTATTTCGAAAGGAACATGTTCAGTGTACTTATCATCTCATGAGAAGGTTTGTTATAATCAATTGTAAGCAAAAAATAAATATTACACAATGCCTTTCTAATAATAATTGTTTATAGGTTTTTATATTAAATCGCACATCCCTGTGTTTTTAAAGTTTTATGTCAGAGGTAAAATATATACAATGTAGTTATACAACCTTACATGATATCAATTAGATATGTTTAAAAACATCACAAGTCAGATTTACTGCCGTGAAGTGAATGGATATGGAAATGAATCAATGTGGGCTGCACTTGAGTTACTTGCCGACCTTTTTATGCATGAATGGTGTTTCGATCATACCTTACTGTATACACTGCATGTTATTATAAAATCTTTGGTTGTGAGGAATTCGTGTGTGAGAAATGCAGTCATTGATTACACCGAGCAGTGGAAGCGAGAGAGTTGCAATAGCATGGAATCTGCACCATACAGCCATGTGTTTCTTGTCAAACACATAATCCAGTTTGTGTCCTTACAAGAGCAGGAGTTACTAAGTAGTTTGGCGGATGAAATCAAGAAAAATACTAATTAGTTACCATAAAAAATAAATGTTTTAATGTAGATCTAGCTCACCTCATGTACATGTAGCTTTATTACTAGTCAACAGTCAACAATAAAAGTAACACATTTAACAACAATTCATGTGTTATGTTTTCTCCATTGTCCAATACTCGTATTCAATTTTGCTCAACTATAAATGATTTACAACTGCAATTATACGTTGAAATCAGCCGTGACATATGATAACTAACGTAATTTGATTACCAAATTACGCAGTACTTTGTATATATAAGTTTGTTCAGCGTTTCTGTAACTTAACTCTCTGATTCAAAGCATTTTCCTTTTGTTCCTTTTTTAATTGTCTCTTTTTCTTCCTTTCCTCTAATTCTGCTTGCCTTTGCTCTTTTTCAACTTTAACCCTAACCTTTTCCCTAAATGCTTCATCTGAGGTAATTACAAAGTACTGAGAATTTTTCTTGGCATTTTTCTTTTTAAATTCTTGCTTTGGTAAGGTAAGGAGGGGGTTACTGGGGACAGCTTGTGGTTTCTGCAAAGCAGGCGATTTATTCAGTGCCCGCGTCTTGTA